TCACATCTCTTTTTATGCAGCCCAGGATACAGTTGGCTTTCTGGTCTGAAAGCTCACGTTACCAGCTAATGTCCAATTTTTCATCCACCTGTATCCCCAAGTCCTTCTCTCCAGGGCTGCTCTCAATCCATTCATGACCCATATATCTCCAGTGCAGTGGAAAAAATGTTGGCGGAGGCAGTACCTAGGGCTTTATAGAAATCCAAATACATGACATCCATAGCTCTTCCTTTGTCCCTCCATCATAGAACACCAGATAATCAGGCATGATTTGCCACTGGTGAAGTAATATTGCCTGTCTCTAACCAATTCCTTCCTTCCAGGAGGATCTGTTCCATGATCTTTCTGGGCACAGAGATGAGGCTGACTGGTCATTAGTTTCCAGGGTCCTCTTCTTCACCCTTTTAAAAAATGATCATGATGTTTCCCTTCTTTGTTAGTGAAGACCTTGCCTGACTGCCATAACTTTTCAAATATGGTGGAATATGGCTTGACAACTGCATCAGCCAATTCCCTCATGACCCTCTGTTTAAATGAAGAAAGGCTGTGAGACTGGAGGTTGTCCAGCCTGGAGAAAGTGCTGGGGAGACCTTATTGTGGTCTTTTCAATATTCAAAGGGGGCTCATAAGAAAGATGAAACTTTTTTTCAAGGCCTGTAGTAATATGACAAGCGGTAATGGCTTTAAACTGAAAGAGGGTTGATTTAGACTAGATTTCCAAGAAGTTGAGGATGGCCTATCCCTATCTCAAGGTGAGATTGAATGGCATTTTGATCAATGTCATCTGTTGGAAGGTGTTTGTGTCCATTGCAAGTGGTACGGACTAGATGGTCTTTAAAAGTCTGTTCCAACCCAAACCATTCGATGATGTTCTGTATTTGTTTCTTCGTACTGGCATACATATTATAAACATTCTTGCATTTTACCTGAGTGAAGAAATAGATAATATCATTAAAGAAATTATAAATTTTGTAACATTATGTGCATTTTAATAGACTATCAACTATAGCACTGTTATAAAATGGAGAAAAGTAAATATTTCTGAAGTATGATTCAAACTGCCTCATTTGTTATGCTTTATTAAATGTGCCATGCTTTGTCTAAAACTGACTTTTGCCTAAGGAAGAAGTAGCACTCTATGATTGTTTGGTTAATTGTTTGGTTAATTTTTTTTCAGGTTTGATATTTTATTTTCTTTCCATTAAATAATAAGCAATATGCTAGCACTTTCTGAAAGCTAAAGGAATAAAATATGAAACTCTGTCATACCCTTTAATACTATTTATATTAAATACTTTATTAAAGTTTGGTGGACAGAAATTACAGATTGAGGAATGTAATTCATTTTGCCAAAGTCAACTTAAAGATGTTTATATTTGAGCTAGTTATTCATATTATCTTACAGTGAAGTGGAGACAATAGAGGACATGTGGAAATGTCTAATAGAAATCAGTAACTCTGCAAAACTAAATTAAAGTCTATGCATATAATAGAATATATAACTCATAATACTTCTCTATGTACTTGACTCAGGCTAGATCTCTAACTTATAAGCATATGTTGGTAGACAAGGTGACCCTTAGCCTTAGAAAGTTCCACAAGGACAAAAGAAGAAACCATTGCATTTCATACAGTTCATGCATTCCTTCTAATAGCTTTTGAAACTAATGAGTAACTTTGTGTTGACTGATAGGAATCACAAGAAATCTCATCCCTGAAAAATCCATAAAGGAAAAGATAATGAACACAACATGAATAACAATGTGAGTACTTTAAACTGCAGCATCATGCACTATATGCTCTGGCAGATGGACCAAAAACATCATTAATCATCATATTTAATTGAAAGTGTAATAAAAGCAGGTGATGAGCAAAGCAAACAGTATTTACACTTGTTAGCACTTAAATCACTTTCAAAACTGCAACAGTATGAAAAAATCATTGAAACATTCATCAAAAGCAGAATTCCATTTCCCTATCAATAGAAGGTACATAGGTATTTGCCTTTTAAAAGATAGTAATATTTAATTTCATGTATTTATTTCCCACCCCCGACTCTTTGCGAATACCAAATTTTGGGTATGCTATGTTATACACTGAAAAGTATTGCTTCGAAGAATCTATGTAAAGGTTAATTTTTCTGTGTGTGAAACTTGGGTTTCACCAAGTCAGATTTCATTCTATGTTACCAAATATGTATTTATGTACCGTGTGACACTAATCACCACTGCAGCCAACAGCAGCAGTGTTTTTCTATTACTCTCAGCAGGGGGGCATTCTATGCACTGAAAGAAATGTCTTAATCCTAAACAGTTTTATGTTAACTTTATGATTAATATGCAGTTCTACCTCATTTATTACGGAATTTTCACTGGCATTTGGGTGATGGATGCTGCTTATGCCTCATGTCTTCTAGTTCCTGTAGCTCCTGAATGATGAAGGTCAAATTCTTTAATTCTGTAGTAAGTCATGTAAAATTTTGTCAAAGGTCACAAAACTTAAAAGGAATAAGCCAGAGGTGGAAAAACAAAGCCTGGGGTTAAATCAAAATATGTCAAAGTTTCTCTTAGAAAACATATGTTTAATGTCATAAATAAAGATAAAAAAAGATTCCATTAACTACAAGTTCATTCCTATTGAAATATGTATCAAAGATGAAACTGCATTATTATTATATTTTCAGTTAAATTGAAGTTTTTTAGTGTGGTGAAGTTGATCAAGTTTAATTCAGACAAGACAGAAGGAGAATGAGTTTTGGAAAAAAATACAAAACAACCCATACCCAAAAAAAAAGTCAGTCTGGTTATAAAGTTCTTTCTCTGGTGGAGAGCTTTAAGATACCATAGTACAAGAATTAGATGTTTTTGATTGTTTGATACAAAAATGAGATTAAAAAATTAACAGTGCAGTGGTATATTCATGCTTTTAGTAAGTAATAGAAGAGCTGGACATGAGAAAATAGCTGAGGAGGAGAGGCCAGGGTTGTCTGACTACAGAAAATTGTCAATTTAACATGAATATACAACAAATGATCCTACAATGTATCTGAAAATGTATTTCTACTAGGAACAGTATGTTTAATGAAAAGTTAATGAGTTCTCATCTGGAGCATCAAGTCAATTCTTTTTTCACTGTTGTGTGCTCTTAAGCAGTTTTAGTTGCAGAAAAAGGATATTAATAGTATAAGCACCATCCAGGTTCTCCCTGGAGCTCATGGAAGTAGATGTCTGAGATCAATTAATCATAAAATTTTAATCATAAAAGTAAACAACTGGCCTAGTTTAGATATCTAATATTCACTGGCTAAATGTATATGAGAGAAATATCTGATCATAATTAAGATAGATTAATTCAAAGAGTTGCAAAAAAAAATTTCAATAAAATGACGTGGAGGACTAACAGTCTTTTAATGAAAAAAACCTCAAACACATTAAAGTATAATTTTGTAAGACCCATCAAAATAAATATAAAAATTAATCATAATTCTCATTATCGACGCGTCGCCTAGGAGATGGTCTGCTCCTAGAACTCTTTTAATTTTTAATAGGTAATCATAGGAAAAAATAAAATCATAAATGAAAGAAAATGCAGGGAGAAAAGAACCCCAAACCAACCAACAGACCAAGAAAAAAATAAAAATCCCAACACAATGTTTTTATCAATCTGAGTATTTTGGCCAAGAAGCTGTATAACAAAAATCTGGTAGTTTGGGCCCTTTCTACAATTACTTTTCACCTACACTAATTGTGACATTTCTGTGATTTCATCACTTTGAGTTCTAGAATTCTTTTTTAGATGTAAAAGAGTGAGACTTCAAGGGTATTATTTTCTGGTGAAGAAAACTAGTTCCTTGGAGAAGGTGTTTTCGACACTCTACCCAGAAAAATGAGCTAGGAACTCATTGCTCCTGGCCAACTGTTAAGGAAGGCTTGTATGGAATGTCTGATTTCAGCAAGTCAGTAACTTACAGTAGGATATAAGTCTCAAAAAGATCAATTTATCAATTTAGCTGTGCTACCAATGTTTCATGATAGCAAAAGTCCTCCAACTTTTTTTCTAGGTGTCTGCACAGCTTGTGCATTTAAACAGGACATGATTTAAAAATCTGAGTGACATATAGATTTATGACAAAGATCTTCACATAAGACAATGATGTAAAGATCCTTGAAATTATCTTTTTTTAGCCCAGAGGAGAAAATAAGTGCTATTAAAAATATTTCCTGAGATTAGGATAGTTTCACATACGTGTTTGGTTTATGTACTTTCCCATATTTTTGCTAGACAAATGGCTGAATAAAAACACTGTAGTATAGTGGACTAATTTCTATTTTTTTTCAGCTTGAGTGGATGACAAAAAATTTATATTCACTAGGCAAGATAATTTTGAGTTTCAGCTAATGTTACAGACAAATCTGTTTTATATAAGAAATCAAAGAACAGAAATCTAAGGAAAAACTGCTGAAATACTAACTTCTAAAAATGGACTTTGTAAGAACTAGCAGTTCTGCAAATAATTTTAAATTTAAATATTTAAGGCAAGATTTTATTTGGAAAAAATATATTAATGAAGTATTTTTTCTTGAAAGTTTCTGTTGCAGTGATATATGTCAACTGATATAAGTGAGAATATCTTCTTTTCTTGTAAAAGTCTTTATGCTAACTACATCTACTTTATTTACAATTATGGAGGCAAAATAAGAATCACATCTACTTTCTCAGTAAATAATTACTTTTATTTCCTAGTTTCATTCTAAGGAGCAGGGATTTTTACATTCAGAAGCTTTGTGTCATGATTTTAGCAATTTGACACCAACTATGTTCAAGAAAGTAATTTTATAAACACTTGAAATTTTACATTACTATAGGCAGAAATAAAGGCAATGTTTGCATTTTTCTATATTGAATAAAAACAAATGAATGTTATTATAGTAAAAATAACTTCATATAAAAATGAGACTTTAAAAAATTAAGCTACAAAGTAATATTTTCTCTTAATTGCACCCAATCTCGATTTAGTAGGTATAAAAGCATGTTTGGATCATCCAGCAACTAAAATAAAAATTGAGGACATGGGTATAAGATATGTATTTTAAATAATTGCATTGAGTAAAATTTTTAAGGGTTGGAAACTACATATATTGTAACTATACATATAGACTTTTTTTGTTACTGTTAAAAAAAATCACTGGGGACTTACAAACTATGTTGAATTATAAGTGAAATAATTGTGTCTACAGAAAAAACAACAACCCTGCTAATAGATTTTAATTACTTAGTGGGGCATTGCAAAATACACAGAGTTTAAAGACTTTTTGCTATGTCTCATCTAAAGGACCCTTTTATGATTTATTTTGACTCTCAGAGAAAAACAAAACAAACCAAAAAAAGAAACAACCCACACCAGATTTCTTTTTTAATAAAGACATATTTTCATGCCATACTTTTTTTCTTGTTACACAAAAATTTGGAAATTCCGTGTAGAATCAAAATTCAGAAAGGAAATAAAAAATACCCTGGTTTTCTTGATTTGTCATGACTTATTTTCCAAGGCTTTGTTATTCAAAACGTCTCTAGGTACCCAGATTCATCATGAATTTTTGTCTTGCATTCATTTTTTAAAGGTAGCATAGTCAATACTGGAATCTTGGAGAAACAAAGCAACCCTGCCAAAACTTGATGTTTGACTCAACATTTTAAGAGTACAATAAAAAATTGTGCTGTTTGTAAAACCATTAATGTCCTGTTTTCTGCTATAGAAATCATGACAGGCTGGCACAGAGAGAAGAACAGAATTCATTCATTGAATGAATGAGATCAGTTCCGTGCAATTTCTTGTTATGACCCTCTCTTGAACAAAGAATAGATGGGATGTTGGAAGAGTAAGCTGAAAATATGGATACAGTCCCTTAGCTCTGCATACAGCAGGATTTGGAAAGGAGGTGTACTTGAAAGAGGCTAGACATAGTCAAGGAGAAATATAGGAGAGAGAAATAACTAAGTCTGTCATGGAAAAATTAAATCCAGTCAGGATTGGGAAGACAAGTAGACTGGGATGGGAACCCCAAATAAGGAAACAATGCAACCTTAATGCTGTCTCATTCTGATATGGTATTAATTACAGACCTTTTTTTTTCTACCTTACCCCCTCCTCATGCAGGCCAAAGGACAGTGACTCAGGATATTGCAGCTATTCAATGATTTTTTTCATCCTCACTGTTCAGTGTGTGTCCCTTGGTGTTATTTACTGCATGCTGTTGAAACCCCTCTCTGTATACAGAATTATTAATTTCCTCATAGACTCATTCCAACCTTCACTTCAGCTGATTCAGCCCTTACCTATATTCAGTCCCCGCCCGTTAACTAAAATGTACCTACTGATTTACTCTTTTCCCAGCTCTCCCCCTCAAATCATTCTTCCAGCCCCACTAAATTGTTCACGGAGACTGGAGCTGCTGACTCCCAGAGCTGTGAAGGAGTGAGCCTTTTTATTTTATTAATGTTCAATAATGGGTTTATTAATGCTCAGTAGGTATTTCATTTCATTGGTTTATGTTTCCTCTTAAGAGCACACACTCTGTCCTCCTGAGCTGTTCTGTTTTTTGTGTTGACTGGCTAGCAGAGAAGTTCATTTGTCCTGTGCCATTACTGCCATCTGCCTTGTCAGGCCTTTCTTGAAAATGAAACTGTGTCTCAACAACTTTGCCCTTGGTTAAATAAATAAGCCATAACTGTAGCTGGAACATCATTATGTCAGTATGAGTCTGAAGGTCTTAGGATTTATTGGGGTGATGCAGCCATTACCATTGAAATTGGCTTTATTGTATTCACCTTGCTGCGTAACAGCATCTGTGCAGCACTTGTGAAGTTACTGGGAAAAGGTTCTACACCTGCAACTCTGTTCTAAGAAAATTCTTATTCTCCCACGTAAACACCCCCTTAGTCTTTCCTGCTTTTTTAATCTCTGTCCTTGGATTCTTTGTTTTGCCTGTTTGAACTCCTTCCAGCTCACTGACTTCTAAGCAGAAAGCACTGAAAGATACCAAATGTGGTGTATGCAAGTGACAACACAGATGGTATTTCTGAAAAGAGAAATTAGGGATGGAAAGTTGTAACAACCATCTAGTACCAGAATTACTTATGAAAAGAGGAAACACATTCTCAACTAATTATGATAGTTTGTTTCAAGTCAGTTAATCTTTAAAATTATTATTATTTTATCTGTATAGTCCAGTTTAATTGTAGGACTTAAAGACCTCAAGAAGGAACAACAAATACTAATAATTATAACAATTCATTTCCATGCACTATATGCTGACCTAATACTGTACAACACAGATACAGTGAGATTCCTTGCCTTGACAGCAACACATTTCTAATTCTGTGGCTGAACTGTTTTATTCACAATCTAGTCTCTACCTAACAACAAAAATAATTGACAAAAAATACTCTTTGAGCAAAATGAAGGTGGCACTGTACATCCTTTGGGAATCTTGTGTCTAGGTAAATACCAAACTGAAAACTAGGGATACCAGAGTCCATACATGGTAACTCAAGCCTAGTTGTCTTTGAGCAAAGTCACAATACATATATAATACTCATAGTCATTCAGCTCTTGCAAATGGTATCATCACTAGGAGTTTAAGTCACATTTACTCTTTAAGAGTTCTTACACCTTCATTTTGCTAGGCAGATGTTCTGTTGAGGTAAGCAACATTTTATACCAACTAGGAGGAGCAGACTTCTGGCATGGATTTAAACACTGAATCCCACATCACACAAAACCAAAAACAAACAAGAGAAAAAAACCCTAACAAAAAAAAAGGAACAAGAAAGCCAAACCAAACCAAAAAAGACCCAAACAAAACCAATCAAACAACAACAACAAAACACTAACCACAAGTAAATTGTTAATATTTTTAACGAATTTTATGATTTACTTAAGTTTCTTTGGGGATTTTTTGGATCAATCCCATGAAATAGATTTTCACCATTATGTCAAAACTTTAATTCCTTATCAGAAGCTCTTGATAATACTCAGAATGCATTAACAAAAATTTTATACAACTGTATAATCAAGAAAAGTAAAAAACAAGAAAACATAAACACAGTCAGTGGAATAGAACCTTAGATCGTTCGTCGAAAACTCCTTTTTATGGAGTTTGAAAATACTGTATCCATATGTGGATACAACTCAGTTTTGAACCATAACCTTTCTTGAATGACAGAAAGCATCATACAGCTGTGCTAAATACATCTCTAGATGTTTAAATCTTTTCGGTTTTAAACATTTAAGCAAATGTCTTTTAAATAAAATCATATACTGAAAAGGGTACCTGTTAGACATTTTTCTCTCAGTATTCCTGCTTATCTAATTTAATAAAATTGTGTAACTCATTCAAGACATTTTTTTCTCCTTTATTATTTTTCAGAATCAAATATTCTTTGCCTTCCCTTTTCCACAGACATTTGTATTTCCGAATATACAATTAACATTATGACTATCTTTTCTTCTTTACCTCATCTTCCATTTGCCTTTTAGAATTTTCTTCTGAGTCAGAGGAAGGTATGTTTTATAATAGGCTGCTGCTGTCTTTACCACTTGTTTGCTCCAGTATCATTTTTGTCAAACTGAAAACATCATATTTTTTGCAACCTTAAGATATCACTGTAATTTACATATTTTTCCATTTCAATTTTTTTTTATCATTAATGAATGCTTTGTCATACTGTTTGTATTGGGTTTCTTTTGGTCAACGATACTCACGTTCTTCCCAGAAGAAAATTCTATACTTTATGCTTTAATCAAATTACTCTGTCCAAAGTAATTTTTTGTTTAGTGATTACTTTCTAATTTCAGGTACCTCATCCTTTCTTCTCCTGGCTAGTTGCCTTCAACCTTGTTAAACATGCTCTTTCTGAAATAATAGCCCTTTCTGATTTCCATTACTGTGTTTGTTCCGTTTCTTCCACTGTCTAACTGTTCTTTAAACTTGTTCTTCAGTAGATATTTTTCTTTCTCTCCATCCATTAAAGAATTATCTCTCTCTTATCCCGTGAAAATGTCTTTCACATTGATGAATGTATTTATGCTTCAAGAGAAATTTAGCATTGTTTAAACAGAGATCGTAATCTCCGTCTCTCTCTACTCCTACCAGTTTAATGTTTTACGCAGTTCTGCTGATGTACTCTCATCTGATGCTCAGGTTGTTGATAGTGATTGGAAACAGAATCAGGTCCAATATTAATGCCTAGAGGATATCCTCATTTCAGATACTGAAATGAGACTGATCCCATTCCTTATTTTCTCCTTGTTGCCACTCTTATGGATGTGTGACATTTTCATTTTTGAAGACATCAGGATACTTTTATCTTTCAAAGACAACAGAGAGTAGTTTTGTAATTATGTCAGCAAAGTCCTTCAGAACTCATGGTTTTATCCCATCTGATGCATGTCAGGGCAAAATGTGCCATTAGATGTCCAATTAATTTGAAATCCCAACATTTATATTTGTGTTGCTTTAATGCCAGGTATTTGTACTAAAAACACAGTACTTTATCATATTATTTCTTTCATTTTCTTCTTTTTTCTCCCCTTTTTTTCAATTATCTGGCAGTTTTTTATTTATTTATGATTAACAATTAAAAGCTAACTGAGCAATTAAATCTTTTTTTCTGCTACTGTTACACTTGGCTTCTAAACAAGAACATGTTTTATGTTCTAGGTCAAACAATATAACGTGATTTTCACATAGCTGACCCTACTGTTTTTCTGTATTCCATGTTTTGCTTTTCTACTGTGATGTTACTACAGTGATTACTTGTTATAGCACTTTTTTATACTAATCTTGTTACTATTTGTAGTGAAAACCAAAAATATATGAGATGTCAGTAGCTTGCATTCTCAGTAGTAACTTAGGCTGGAGTTCTGTCTATTCACATGCATGTGGATTTGGCACTGATTATTGTACTAAACTCTCTATTATACAATATTTTAAAAAATTAGATTATGGTATTTTCCCTTATGTAACTAGGTCAAATAGTACATAAGAATAGGAATATGTCTTACTGAATCCTGAAAATATCATGAAATAATAGAACAAAAATGCCAAATTAAACAAACAAACAAAAACCAAACAAAACACCAAAACAAAACAACAACAAAAATGGCAAAAAAAAACCCAAAACAAAAACAAAGAAGAAAACTTCTTAACTTGGTAGTAATGGAATAAGTAGTTCACCAACCTCCAGTAACCCATCATTTTAAAATGCTTATTATGAAGTCCTGTCTCTACTAAAAATCAATATCTCTGTGCCAGGAATGGAGTTGCAAAACTGTAGAAGGTCAAAGGGCATTAGAACTTGACTCACGCTATAACCATACATATTTCAAGGATCTTTTTCTCTCTGAGACTGTTTGGTATTTCAGCACATAGGAAAAATGTAGTTTGCCTTTTAGAAATGTGTTGTTACCTATGCTTAAAGACAAGCACAGGAAAAAATTATAGATGCACCCTGCTGAACCCTCACCGAAGTACCAAAACTGCGAGCCTGGCCACTTCAGATTTTTTCTATAATCGGTGGAAACCTAAAAAGGACAATTTAGTGAGCTGAAACATCCTCTGGACTGTTTATCTATCTTCATTTTTTGTAAATGACATGGAGAACATCTGGCCTCCCATTAAATGCATTCAATTTGAAAAATTAAGAGACTTTAGATGTCAAAATTGTTACTGAGGAATCTAAAAGTCGTCATAATGGTTAAACATTTTAACCTATCTTTTTTGCAGATCCACTTTCCTATAAAAATATAGGAAATATTTCTCAACTCTATTTAGTTGATTAACACTACAGCAAACTACATTTTGTGGTATTGGATCAATTCCATGTTTTCATTGCCTCTTTATTTTACATGTTTATACATTTTATAGTTAAAACATTTTTATTGAATCTGCTCTTTTAGTTCATAAGTATGTTAAATAGTGAATAACTCTCTAGTATAGAATCTCCTTGAACGCATTCTGTCGACATGCACATGGAATTTATCATGCAGATGTTTGTATTAAACAACTAAGCAAATAAAGAAATGCTCCAGAGTCTCTTATCATAACATTGAACTGTCAAACTTCATTTATTGTTATATAATTGCAAAGATTGTTTATCCATTCTTGCTCTATTTATCTAACACTACCTTCTGTAATGTTCAAGGTCATGGTGGCAGAAGAACTAGATTTCTAGAATACTTCTAGTTAATTGGACAAAAATATCTTACTGCAATAAAAACTTTTGAAAGCAAAAGTAATGTTCCCTTGAAATGGGGAAGTTACATTGCAAGCAGAGGTTTAGTATAGGTATATTATCACTAATGGGATGACTTTTATCTTCTAGGAATTGCAGACATGGTTTTTGGCAAAAATTAACTTTTATTCAGCATCAATCCTGTTATTACCTTAGGGGGGTTACTTTTTTAGGTTTTTTTTCTTCTTATTTTAATGTTAGCAATGTCATATTTATTAATTTTTAATCTTCACGTATAAACATTCCAAAGGTATGTGAAATGTCTGCAGTTATTTTCATTTGCTTTGTGGCTACTTGTACAAGAAAAATAGTTTCATTTAATTTACAAATTTTTCAGAACTGAATGTGAGTAGTGATTCTGATACAGAATAGGTTTAAGTTCTTAATATAAAAAGGAGTAAGACTAAAGGTCCATCTAGCCTATGGCAGCCAGAACCAAGTATCTAAGTAATATAAGGAGAAGAGGGTAAGGATATATGACACTTCCATATATGTATCTTAGACTCCATCCATTTCCAGATGGCATTTTTGTGTAACTATCAATAAGCCCAACATGTTGCTACTGTGTAGTAACTTAAAGTTAATATTTTTTAAACAAATATGAAGGTTAAATATGAAATTGGGAATCCCTCTTCCCACGTGTTTCATTTTATATTACATCTTGAAATAATTTCACTTGCTATGAAATCTAAAATAACCTTGCCAGCAAATGCGGTCTGAGCATTAGCAGTGCATGTATCTTCATTCTGCTCTTGATTCATCTTTCAAAGGAGTATCAAGTGGTATTAAGTACTATGCCTATTTATTTGTTGACATCTCTGCCTGTAAAAATATTGCATGTCACAAGAATGAACATTAGATTTAATCATGCTTTTTTTTTGGTTTTGTTTTCGTATGGACTTCTGTATAGCAAGCACAGTGAGCACAGAATTGAGACAGACTTGGGTTTTTTACATAAAATACTAGGCAACGTGGTCCTGACACTAACACACTGAGCATGTTTTATTTCCACTGTGATGAAATATTAAAAATAAAGGTATTAGGAACAAAGAAGCTGTCCTTTTAAACGGGATTAACCATGAAAACTCATCTTTCAATTCCTACACAATGAAACTGAAGCAGTCAAAATACAAAACACTGTATTGGCAATGTAAAGTGTATTCCAACCTTTTCTACAGATCACAAAAATAACTTATATTAAGATATTTGGTACTCTAGACCTCTTGCCTTTTATTATTTGTCTTTCTTGGGTTTATGTTTTGTTTGGTTTTGGTGTGTTTTTTTTCCTTTTTATTTTAATATTTATATTGCAAGGCCTTCAGGAGAGGTCAGTCCCTCAGCAGGTAGTTCCTTTATTCTGATGTTAGCTATCTAAAGGTTAGGTGTCTAGTGAGGTGTTCAACTCTAATGAAGAATGAAAGGGAGAGAGGGAGAGAGATGCCTCTACTGAATAGAGTTAAATCTAGCTGACTAAACTTTAAATGACTGAAATTAGATCTGGCGAATTCCATCCTGAAGAGTTTAATGTATTGCCTGACACATATTTATAGATGACTCAAATGTCCTGAGATAAGTTAATAAGAATGGAATAGTAAAATCTGGGCTGCTTAAAACAAGAGCCATAGGATTCTAATGCTCTTTTGCCTATGCTTGACTTTGCATTTTGATAGCAGACACAAGTTTGTCCACAATCCCTTGTTGATAAGGTGTTTAGTGCTTCTTGATATGTCCTCATTTGTATGAGAACAGAGAATTAGGCAACTAAAGATCCCATTATACACTTCATTAGACTAGTTCCTACTATTATGGCTTCATTCCAGCTTGGGGGAATAGGTTTTGTCTACCTATATTTCCTGGGATTTCAATTGGATGTGCTATTTTTCCAGACTTTCTGCCTCAATTTCTTATGTGTGTTCTTCAGTCCTTGCTGCATTTCAGTGGTAGGTGAAGTGAACATTAATAACACTTACCACTCTCACAGACTGAATGAACAAGTCCTGTACAACACCCGGAGTTCCAGTGATGAGAGAACCTACAAAAGTGAAGAGAAGATATCATTAACTCATCCTTAATCTTTTTCGGTGTTCACTTAGGCAAAGTATGTGGTAAGTGTTTTCTTTGTAGTGAAGCACTATGACATACTGTAAAGGATCAATAAAGTAAGCAAGTAAAAAAAATTATATAAAGACAATATAAACAACTTTGGATGCAATATACAAGAAATGCAACACTATGGAGTTCTTTAAAAGATCATGGAATAAGCCATGACCGCCAGTGGGGTCGGAAATGGCTGCATCCAGCTTACTCCAAATTTTGGGGGACCAATGACAACATGGTGGCCAAGGGCTGTCTGGAAACAGTGACCCAGACCTCTTGGTAGTATGCAAATATAACTATAAGTCATTCATTACTCTATAAATAGTGGTCAGCTGAGGGCCTGTTGAGCTGTCCTGCACAACTGTGAGCTGCAGAGGATCTCCTCTTGAGTAGGGATGCCTCTCAAGGTTACTGCTCTAGGTTGAGAGATTCCTTGCCACAACAGATTCCCACTAAGTGACTAATAGCATAATAAACTTTGAAATCTTAGTTAAGTTATATACAGAATTGATTGTGCACATATAATCTTTGGCGCCATGACCACTTCTCTGAGAAGCCTGCTCCAGTGCTTGACCACCCTCTGAGGGAAAAATCTTCTTTTAATATCCAACCTAAACTTCCCCTGACAACTTCAGGCCATTCCCCCGTGTCCTGTCACTGGTCACCACAGAGAAGAGATCAGTGCCTGCACCTCCTCTTCCCCTCACAAGGAAGTTGTAGACTACAATGGATCTCCCCTCAGTCTCCTCCAGGCTGAACAAACCAAAAGACCTCAGCTGTTCCTCATATGGCTTCCCCTCAAGGCCCTTCACCATCTTCACTGCCCTCCTTTGGACTTGAATAATGGTAGAATCTAAGGCCAGGGGGACTATTAAATGGTTTAGTCTGATCATGAGACAATGCATTTCACCAGTGTCACATTAACAACAATATTTGTTTAGGTTCTAAATTTTTAACTTGTGTGACAGTAAATCACAGGAGACATAGGCTCTATTTGCTTCTAAGGGGTGAATGATTTGTTGCTTTGGACTGCTGTAATGAATACCTTGTTACATTTCTATTAGAATATTAACATGAGAACATCAGCATATGCACACTGGTGCAGTTTCACCCTCTGCTTGGATGCTAAGTGTTACCTAAACTGAAGAAAATATTCTACGGTATCCTGCAATCTTTTATTTCCCTCTCAAAACTTCAGTGTCTTTCCCGTGCCAGTAGTTAAAGATTCAAGTTATCTGTAGCCTGAACCTTGTACACCATATCCAAGCTACCAAATACAGAAAAGTTTTTGAGCTCATACTGTCCTCTCCAGCCACGTCCTGATCCCACATTCTCAAGCAGATGCACATTAGTGCTTTCATCGTCAATTTTCTTTCCCTCTGGTATCTCACAGTTACATCTCTTTCTGATTTGTCAGGAATCACAGAATAGGAAACTGGATAAACAGTCACTCTTTCACTGCAAAAATTAGGAAAAAAATAGTTTCTTTTTTTTGTATGTGTGTGTGTGTATGTGTGACATTTCTAGTGCCATAGTGAGTTACATTATCTGAAAAGATACTGAGTCCTCTGAAACTGTTCTGAGAACACTGACATTGGCTACAAAGACTTAGTTAAAAAGAAAAATAAATCCCAGTAGTACAAGAATGACATTTAGTTTAATTTGCTTTAATCTCTTTGTTCAAAGAAAAATAACAAAAAATGTGAAACTGAATAATCTTATAACTACATCCTGTAAAGTGTTTTGTCTGCATAAATTACTTTTGAAATCTGTGTTTCAAATAAGATGCTAACCGCATTGTGTCTATGAGTGTTCCTCAACCATTCTATCAAAAGAGCTTATTTCATATAGAGGTGATGTTATAGAGTTTACAGCACAGGACTCGGTAATTTTCTCAAGATTATTCTCTCTCTCCTAAATGCACTATAGGCGATGCTTACAACTTTAATCTTTCAGAGAAGACCTTACAGTCAGCCACATTTAGTAAATTTCTCTATGTGAGTCTTATCGTCTCAGCCCAAAGTCTTCAAGCTAGAGCATGACCTACAGTAAAGTGTTGCCTGCCTTAGCTTTGTCCTTTCCTCCAGGCACAGATGAATGAGATATGATTAAATAGGTAATTTTAAGCTGGAAAACGTTCTGTGAATGAGCTAGGAGGGAACCCAAGTGACTGTGTCACAAAGTTCTAAAGTTAAATGAAATAAATCTTACACAGGTTATCCACGAAGTGCAATCAACTGGTTTAGATCCTTTTTGCAGCTCCCTTCACAGACACTAAGACACTAACCAAAAAAATCCTTTCCCAGACTGCTGGCATGATGAGATATAATTTACAATGACTTGTAAAAAGTGAAGAAAAATTGATATTTTTACAAGTGCTCCCAAGATTCTTTTAAATTTTTTTAAGTAGCTTGAGAAGATGGCAAAACAACAAATCATTAGTGTACATAGCCCAGTGCCTCAATTTCCCCTACATCACTGTACATATTCAAAGATGAGAGGAATTCAGGAATTACTCCACTTTTCTTCTCTGATTTATCTATGGCTTCATTTCTGAATTTTAAAACCTCTTCATTATTTCTTTTCTCTCTTTCCTCTTCACCTGGCTCTTTAGTTGTACAGGTCCTTAAAGGATGATAGCTGGATTCCTACTTCATCTCTCTCACACTTCCTTTATCTAGCCAGTGCAAGAACACTCTGACACAAGATGAAATAACTATCTCCATTAATTTCCAGCATATTAATCCTAAATGGAAATTAAGCATACTGTGGTGCAAAGTGCCTTAAGAAGTATTGCTCCTCTCATAACTTTACAGTTATGAGTATGGGAGAACCTGGTGGGAACTTTAACTAGGTAGACAGTGATTTCCCTGAGCAAACAAAGAAGTCTCTTTTATAGACTCTCTCTGTTGAGACTTTGTCAACATTTGCTTCCTTCTTTTTCTGGGAATATTTTATTCTTTGAAATCACAGTCCTACCTCCCTTTTTTCCAATGTGATGTTGAGGTAAAATGTCTTCTTTTAGGGTGCAGCTAATATTTTAAAGTTCTGATAGTAGTTATCAGATAACACCATAATACATATGAATACTAATAGTGACTTTTGATTTTTGTAGCATAAGTAACATGGAGAAACACACACATATTTATAAGAATACAGACATTTCACACAAATACCCTGCAAACCAAACAACTAATATATGCAGATTGCATGTTTAATTTCTGAAAATTATTTGAATGGGCACATCTCATTTCTTCCATGCAGATTCCTGAAAAAAAACCTAAACAATGAAAGCGTAAGGTACAGATAACAACCCCCCCCCTCTTTTGTTTCATCACAGTCTCTGTCATTTGTGGACTATGCCAGAAACTTGCATCACATCCTCTTTTACTGTCTTTAGATTCTTTTCGAGTTCTCTCATGAACAATTTTAGAAAATCTGTTTCAGGCTTTCCCATGTGATTGCATGGCTCCTGTGTTGGTCATTTTTTGGTTTTTTTTTCTTTCTGGTTGATCATAGTAAGGAAAATATCAGGAACTTCTTTTCTTTTGAGTGAAGAAGAGACTAGAGACATAAAAATTTTATTAATAAGAAGGATTGTATGTCATTAGTCTCTTCATCAGAAGTTCCTGGTATTTTCCTTGTCATGTGTTTCTGCAAGACTTAAAAGTACCAACAAGTCTGGAAAATGTTTTGTATTACAGTTTTACTCAGCTCATATAAAAACAATATAGTGCTGAGTCTGTGAATATCCTGAACCTCAGATTTCGTTACACTACCGTCTAGAAATATTTTCTAAGACAAATATGGATAATATACAATTAACTTCATACTCTTTAATACATCTTAAATAATTTATCTATGAAGAGATAATTCAAATTTGATCTAGTACAGAATTTGTTCTTCAAAAATGAGCAAACTTTTTGGTTACAGAATCACAAAATGAAATAACAAAAAATGAATAAAATGAAAGCATGAACAAAAATTGTATAACAAAGGTAATGATTAGTAAAGGTAATGATTAGTAAAGGCAATGATAAAAGGTAACGATAATACTGCTAGGAGAAAAATAGATTGGAGTTTTTAATGAATTGTAGGAATAGGTTCTTTCATGATAAGAAAAATACACATAAGAAAAGACTGCACAATTTCAGATAACAAGAATGCTTCTTACATTAAAAAGAAGATTCATTTGGGGATTTATTTAAAACAAATAAGATCGATAAGCAAACACCAAGCGGTCTAAGTAATTTTAAAAATTACATAAGGAATTGTTTCCAAAAGTTCAGCCAAGAGAAGTTACCATTTTACCATACTCAAGTGGGATGCCTTCCTGCTTTGAAATCAGACACAAAATCAAGTACTTTAGATGGACACAAAATTTTGTTCTCATTTTGACTATATTAACACACAGAACAATAATTACTTTGACTTTCTATTTAATTTTTGTTCATTTTCTCAGGTAGCCCTATATGAATAAAATTTCACAGTCAACATACAAGTTTCTTCTCTTTTCAATACAATGAAGCATATTTCAAGAATACATTAGAGAAGGACCCAAGTGTTTAAGGATAATTTGAAAGTTGATAACTGGGGATAAACTGATTTGAAATCTATTGAAATTATTTGCTTTCTACTTCTGTCTGCTCTAACATATTTGATATAGGCAGTTAGTATCTGTTTCTATTGCCCTCATTATCTGAACTTGGTCAGAGTCTAATGAGTAGCTTGCTAAGGCAATAAACAGGAAAATAAGTTGAGTGTCCAGCCAGTCAAAAAACTGAATATTGTAAAGATCAATGTAGAAGTACACGGTTATAATTCATAGAACGTATGAGGCAATAAAATTATTGTAAATGAGTTGTGAGACAATTATTATAACTGTGAGAAAGCAGCACACTGTAGTTCTGCATGACTGAAGTGAGAATGAGAAATAATATTAAGTTTAAGCAACTCTGGATCCATGTAGATCCAGATTCGTAATGCAAATCTGTTCATTCTGACAAAGGTAATACAGGACATCATATCTTTTGTTCAGAGGAAGAAGAATGCCCCACTAGCACTTTAGACTTTAATTCCCACTGGAGTTGCTATGGTCTGTTGAATCTAACTGAATAAATTCTCTATTCTAGTTCTATGTTCTAGTCAATGAACAGACAGACAACTCTGATGATATGTAGGGGTGAATAAATCAATCCACATAATTTTGATGCTTTGCCTTTCCACTTAATGTATCTTTTCTTTCAAGGCCTTCAGAGGATGCTGTTTGTATTTGTTTTCTACTTTTTCCTCTTACAGTACAAAGGATCACAGGAAAGCACAGAATTATAGAATTGTAGAATGACTTCAGTTAGAAGGGACCTTAAAGATCAGTTAATTCCAACCCCTCTGCCATGGGTAGAGACACCATCCACTAGATCAGGTTGCTCAGGATCCCATCCAACCTGGCCTTGAACACTTCCAGAAATCAACTTCTCTGGGCAATCTGTTCAGTGCCACACTACCTGCTGACTGAAGAATTTCTTCCTAATGTCTAATGTAAATCTTCACTCTTAGTTTAAAATCATTCCCTCTTGTCTTATCAGTATCTGCTTGTGTAAAAAGTTGTTCTCTTTTTTTTTTCTCCCTTTTTTTACTCTTTAGGTACTGGAAGACTGCTATAAGATCAATCCCAGTTCTCTTATATGTAAGCATCCACTTCGGATCTTGGTCCTTCTAGGAGACAGCCACACACTGGAGAAGCATGACTGTTTTTACATAATACTTGTAGAGTGAAAGCATCCACTCATGGAATAAGAATCTGCCTTCTAATGTATGAGGTTGAGAAAGACACAGTTTAGCTTTCCTATCCTACAGGTATCTTCTCCATCAGATCGTGAATATCATAAGTAAAGATATTGCCAGTACACCCTGGATTAGAGGTAGTTGGGAACAGAGAGACAAATAAAAGGCAAATTATGCCAGAGGATTCACCTAGAGGAGAGGAACACTTAAAATTCTGGATCCATGTCTGCAATTTTATTTTCTTATTTTTCAGTGATGATCTTATAGGAAATATAACTGGTTCAAAAGTTGCATGAGTCTGAACTGCTGTATTGAGTAAAATACATCAAGTGTACTTTACGTGAGTGAAAGAAAAATGCTTCATATATATGGAGATGAGAATTTAACGTTGGTCAAATATAAAGTCTGAGTGGTTTTAGTAGTTCATTTAAAATTACATTAATACCTGTAGTCCAAATTATCTGCCTGTTGCAACTATTTCTCATTAATAATACAGTTTCAATTATTATGCACAAACCTGTTAATATCTGCCCTTTCCTGTGGTGTTATGGTCACTCTTTCAAGTACTCTCAAGTTGAGGTCAAGGTCTGTCTTCCCCAGATGGGTGGTTACACTGAGACATCAGTGCCCTGAGGTTTTTGCTGGAAGAAGGACATTGATGGTGAGAGTTATTGCCCCCTCCATTTTAGCTCATCTTGGAGTTACTTTCCTTGTTTCAAATTGTCTGCTGCTGACATATGTTTCTTGTCGGTCCACGAGTTTAATTGTACAATGATTACTTTAAAGCTTTACCACATATGGCATATTTTTAGGGTAAAAGCAATTGCACACAGCTAAGGTACAGCTAAAATCAAGACAGGCATTTGTTACAGCCTCGTTAGATTACTTTTTGTCTTAAGAATAGATAGTCCAAAAAGGCTTGCTACGTTCTGCAAGTCAGTGTTATTAAACTGATAAAAAGCTTGTGTCTGTGACCAGTAACAGCAACACATGACCACAGATCTGCAGAAATCTGAGCAGACTCAATGACAGATTTCTCTACTGTATTTAAACAAAATTCCCTCTGCAAAGATAACAGAGTCAAAATTTAAAACTTCTATATGGGATTTAAGTGCATGACTTTGTACAACATATGTTTTTTAATGAAACTGTGCAGTGACTAGGATGTAAAACTGCAAGAGCTCACAAGTCTATAAGAGTAATTAAAAAAATATGCTTAAAATTTATTAAGTCCCTCTGAATATATCCATATGATGATATGGAGATGAAAACCTGCTTCTTAGCTAACACTTCAGATCAAACTTGATCTTCCCAATGAATCTTGATTACTCTCCTTCATTCAAAGGCTTTAGAAAACTTTATACCCATGTACAGGTTGTTTACAGTCAAACTGACTTTGCTATAATGCCTCAGAATATAATGGTGTGGTACTTTTTAGACAGATATTAATTATTTTAATAGTGATGAATTGTTATTTTAGGAGCCCTTCTTACAATGGTTCTCTTAAATTCACTTGTTGCAGCTGTCTAGTCCTTGAGAGAGTCTGCAGAATTATCTCCCCCTCCCTGGTCCCAGTTACTTTCACAGCTCTTCTGTGCACCCTTTTGTTTTCCTGACAATAACCAGTTGTTCTCCCTAGTCTCTCCATCAGAAATTTTCCTCCAGAGGTATCAAGAGCAACCTTCCCAGTACATGAAAACCACCATTCTCTTTATTTGTGTGAACCGTATTTTCTATTTTAGATATGTTAGCATCTTTGAACTTAATCCTGTACTCTGTCACACATGAATGTGTGTGTTTATATCAACATTTTCTGTGCATTGTTGATATAGATATCTATCATTTTGCTGCATATTGTTTTGACACAGAGCCGACATTGTATCACGTTGACTTGCTTTTAAAAATAGCATTTTGACTTGAAAAGCAAAATGGGGACAGATCAGATTTTGAATACATTTTTCTAACTAGTTATGAACAATCCTTGCCCTTAGGGTTATTTACCTTAATCTTCACAGCTGAACCCTTTGCTGATGTGTGTTGTTGAGGACAAATAATTTTATTCTTTATTCAGAGTTTTGTCCAGTTAAATCATCATTGCATTGTTCTTCTAGTAAGTTCTTCTTCCCTTTTAGTTTTAAGATTGGTCTTGCAAGGCTATATTACTGAGAAGATAATCAAATCCAGTTAACTTAATATTCACCCATGGAGACACTGAAACATAAAGAAAAATCTGTTTGTTTTTTTTTTTCCAATGAACAAGACAGGCACAGGGTATTGAAAAGGAATGCCACTGACACTCTTAGTGAGACAAAAAATGATCTGTAATGTAGGAAAACAAATAAGCAAGAATTCTTTCTTTCCTACATTCTTTTTGTTCTTATAAGAACCTTGAAATGCCATCAGATCTTCTTTAAATAGCTAGTTTAAAAATAATCATGTATAGTAGTTTGAGTGTTTTAAGTAAAAAATAGTCGTGGTTATATGCAATCACAGGTTTTGAATGTATCTTAGGTGTACTAAATTACATGATGAGATGATTCCTATTTCTTCAAAGCTAGACAAAGCTTATCTGTGAAAAGGACATCAAAACACTTTTAGAATGAAAGTAAGAGTAAATTGCTAGTCCTGTAATAAAAATAGCAGCAAACATTGGAAAATATAAGGAGGATATCTGATCTATTACAATAGAGGGAAATAGACAAACAGTGGAAGAAGGGGAGTTAGTCTTTCACCTAGGATAATAAACCAGCACCTTATAGATTAAATCAATGTTATTATTATTGCTTTATAAGAGGGATTTTTTTTTTTCACTGACTTAAACTTTAACTTCTGGTTAAGTCAAACTTTTATATCCTGGATAAAAAAGGACAATCCTCCACCCACCCTCAAGCCAAGACTGCCTCCCCAGAAAAGCCTTACCTGGAGTAAAATTTTTGCAGATAATATGAATTTTGCACTTCCCATCTGCTTTTGACGAATAAAATGGTTTCTTTTTTTTTTTTTTGATGGACTGTATGAACCCTCAGAGAAAACATTTACTCATAAACTGTTCAAAATAACTCATATTTGTTCATAATTAGATTACATCAAAGTAACAGCCCATCTGTATGAACACTCTAGTATTCATTGATACAGATTTCAAAGACTGCCTGGAAAATATTTCGGTACTGTGCCATGGTCACTGAGTTGTTTCCTTTTCTTTACTTCCAATTCATAATGTAGGATCATAGGATCCTAGGGTAATTCAGACTGGAATGCAGATCATTTAGGTCAACTTCCTGTTGAAAGTAGGCTCAAGTATGTGGCCATACTAGGCTGATAACTATATTTTCAAAAAAGGTTTAGAATACATCTAAGGATCGAGGCTACTAAACCTCTTACATGTGCCCAGAAATATGTTCCAAGAGGACTTGTTTGATGATTTTCACAAGAAGTGAAGTGAAGCTGATTGGCCTGTAGTTCAAAGATTTCTATCAGTCTCCATGATCCATGTTAACTGTTTGCCACAAATTGTGTTAATTGCCTCCTGGACTTTGGAGTGCCCTTTCTGAAAAGCCTTTGTCATTTCTACAACCCTCGCAGTAGAGATCTAAAGATATCTCTAGACTTCAGTGCTTTATTAAGTATTAAAAGTCTAAATCAAAATCCTCTTAAACATGAATAGCCTTTAAAAATTATGATTTTCTCTTCTGGTTAAAAGGGAGTAAGGGGAAGCTATAATCAGATTCTATAGATCTCACCCAAGTATCTTTAGTGTGGAAAGACTTCTTGCATTTTTGCCTTAGCTAGACTCATCTGACCAGATGTTCATCTGCTTTAACGTGATTGTCTACATTAAAAAACCGTTAGCTTACACCAACTTAGGAAGCAATGAAAGAAGATTAAAAAAATTGACACTTGACTTATAAAAAGAATTTAAAAAGAGCCCTTGCCCTTAACTTGTATAACAAGCTAATCAATATATCTGTGTTCAGAAGCCTACACTATAATTTAGAAAGGAATAATATCACTCAGAAATGTTAGAATAGTTATCTTTTTCCCCTGAAGTGTTGTATCACATGTTTCAGAGCAAGATTAATGAATAAAAGACAATAATTTAGCCGATGTTAGTGTCAGACCATTTCCAGAAAAATCTTTTTGACCTTAGCTTTGGTTCAGATTTCCCAATGAAGCATGAAGGTTAATAGACCTTTCAAATATTTTCTATTGTAAGAAGCTGTAAGTGAAAACAGGAAAAATGCAAGATAATTATATATTTTGTTCAGAAAGCTGTGGGAAAGAAGGAATTTCAATATGAGTTTACCATCAGTGTAAGACAGTTCTCTCTGTAATGGACATGATGAGATAAATCATCTGGGTTAATAAAAAAAAAAAAAAAATCACTCCCATGAGTATATATTATTTACCTAGTGGAAAAAGAAGGCATGGTGGACTGTTACTTATAAAGTTAAATAAAAATAGAATCTGAAAAAATTCTAATAATATAAAGGTATCCTGTGCATGTTAGTGAATAGTTTCCCCCTATTGATATATAAAATGAAATGTAAATTGTTTATGGCTATTTTTCAAGGTAATGTTCATATCTTTTTTTTTTTTATTTATTTTTCAAATTATTCCATCTGTTTCAAAAACAGAGATTTTGGGATGCAAATAATCCTTGTTCACAGTGACTTTAAAATGAGATTGCCAACATCTATCAACCGAGTGGTGTGAGCCTGTGAGGCCAGATTAACACTTTTTCCTTTACACAGATAAAGATAAGAACAACATTTTAAACTCACCAATTTTTCTTTTCCAGCCATGATTTCAATCAAGGAAGCAAAGGCAATGTGTTTATTACCTATTGTGGCTCTACTCAGTAAAGAGGGCACACAAACAAAATGGGTTCACTTACCCAGATTAAAAAGTTGATAAGATGAGATGTTAGCTCATAGCTTCATAGAATGTCCTGATTTGGAAGAGATCCAGAAGGATCTTCGAGTCCAACTCCTGACTCCACATAGGGCAAAATAGAAGTTAAACCATGTTTCTAAAATGTTTCTTGAACACTGACAGTGTTCAGGCCACGATCAGTTCCCTAGGGAGCTTGTACTGGTACTTGACACTCCCTTACCGTAGAAGTTTTTTCTAATATCTAATCTGAATTTCCCCTGTCAAAGCTCCAAGTCAATCCTTCGTGTCCTATCACTGATGAGCAGAGGGAATAGATCTGCACCTCCCTCTGCTCCCCCTCATGAGGAAATCACGGGCAGTAGTGGGGTCACTCCCCAACCCCCCCACCAGTCTTCTCTTTTTTAAGCTCAACAAAACTCATATCTTCAGTCACTCTTCATAATTTATGTCTTCTAGAAATTTCACCTCTTTGCTGGAGGTAATAATGATGTAGAGGATAAACTGGTCTGACCTTGGTGACTCCTCTAACATAGATGGATGTCCCTGTTCTTTTAATTCCAGTCTCACATCGGTTGTGTGAGGACACCTGGGAAGACAGGGTAGACAAGGAGGAGGTTCTCCCACTGTCCCAGGCACACACTTGTTTCCATTCAACTCTATCCCTCAAGTCCCTGTCTTGAATTCATGAAGCATGAAAATTTTATGTATAATCATAACTCATTTCTACAATATATGAATAGACAGATTTTTTTGCATGAGTATATATAACATGGTAAAATCACAACAGGTTCATTGTGGGAAAAAAAAAATTATTCTGGTGTTTACCATTCTACTGGACCATTAAAAATAAACTTGTATGATATATAATTATTTTTAATATGTAGTGTAGTTCATGCATATTCTTTGCTCAGAGAATTCAAAGACACTTTTTTTTCTCCAAACTTATAAAGAAATACTGCTCTTGATGTTCTAATGATTCAGAAGTTTATCTGCCTTTAGTTTTATGGATTTTTTTTCTTTCTCTGCAATTCTCTGGTCAATTCCATATGCTTTTTGGGGTTGCTTATAAAAACCAGAATACAAATACAAGGTCATCTTCCTTAGAGAAAACAAAATTTCAGAATAACTAGGGAAACAATACATTTACATGAGGTATAAATTTCAAATATCTCTGCACTAGGTCTCCTTCATTTTCTTTTTTTTCCCTTTGGCTTGTAATTGGTACATTTGTAGCATTTTTGCAGTACATAGTACTATACTAAGTAGAAAGTGACAAGACTGGACTGACCTAGACATTGGAATCAGTGTTTCAGGCTTCACTCCATTAGCACCTTAGAGAAAAAAACATAAAAGGTACATTTTGATATAATTCATCCAACACAGAGTTTAATGTCAAAACATAGATGAAAAATAAAAATTTCAAAAAGATTTAGTAAAGCAGACTTTAGTAATTTTCCTTAAAATAAATATTTATATTCCCATTGACTGCAGTAATGCATTTTCCATAAATATATTCTGGCAGTAAATCTATCTAGAATGTGTTAGATTCTGATTATATCTGAAACTTAGCTGACATCATTGGCATTAAAACACTCAGTCTGTTTTCTTTCTATATTTTTCTTTCTAAAAGAAAAAAAAAGATAGTTAAAATGAAAAAGCAACAGGAAGAAATATAAATGGAATGTAACTCATGCAGAATATTTTCTGTATAGCCTAAACATATGTAATTACAGAACAGCATCTGTAAGCTTCCATTAGAGTCAAGCGAGATATACTAGTATGGAAAGGTTTTCATCTGCAAACTGCTTCAGCAATATGACTTTATTTTGTCACTTATTTCCAACATGACTTTGTCACTTGTTTCCAACAGAAGAAGGTGTATAATCATTGATTGCTCTGCCTTTGATATCTTAAACAGGTTACAAAAGATTTTTCAGACGAAAAATGGGCTTTTGGGGGACTCTGCAGTTACAGTTCTGGGAAATGTAGGTCATACAAGAGAAATGTTAATTAGACAGGGAACTACAAAAACATTTTGAGCTCTTTAGCTCTGTCAAAACCATCTATTACAGAAGGAACAAGTTGATTTCACTATTTGTTGAATTAAAAAATATTGCAGCACGCTAACCTTGGGCTGTCATTTCCATAACTGGCTCTTGTATGCTGTGTACTAATTGACACATTCATTTGACTATTTTTCTTTAAAAAAAATATTTTAATGCAGCATCTACTATAACCTGCATATAAGCATTTCATTTCTTATTGTGCCTTTATTCAAGTGGTCAGATTATGGAGAAAACTTACTCTTTTCATAACCAAGATTTCACTGAGCAATGTAGTTCATAAAGTCATTTAAAGGGAGAAAACAAAAAGAGGGACATCAAGCCTGGGGTATTTTTTCTTGTCCTTGAAAAAATAGGCATGACACTTCTATTAGTGTTTTAGTAAGAAGATATATTCAAGTGCTTACCTTGCTGCTATAGATGATTTTTTGAAGCCACCTTATTTCAAGAAATTAAGGTACACTCATTGTGTGAGTGTACCTTGGAACTGGTCCTTCACAGGGCAGAGTTTCTATTCTCTTCCATTAGCAACTTATTTCAGACAATAGATCCAAGTAAGTAGCTCTGTGTGCCCATGGTTCTTCAAGTCAAAAATTAAAAATTACAGTGGCCACATGACTTTTTCCATTCTGAAATGTCCAGTTGACTTCTCAGGCAAAATGATACTTTGCTTAAGTGATACTGTGTTCTGGAGTGTAAAAGTGTTTTATTGATTCCAGCATGTAGAAAAACAAAGCAGATTACCCTACCTATGTTTCAAATAAATGTGTGGGAATATATGATGGAAGTCTAGATTCTGTTGCAACTATTTCTGTGTTTTGACATATTAATTTGCTGACTGTGTTTACTTGTTCTAATAGATACCTATGTTTTTCAACAGCATAGTCATGAAAAATATTAAAAGGGCAAGAGGGTTTTCTATGAAATTGATCTGAGCATCTTATGTTTAATCTTTCTGATAATCCAGAAATATATTTTATATATATATGTGACTACAGCTAGAATGATGAGATTAGAATGACTTGAAATTTGGGATGGGATTAACTGGGGCTAAAGCCCATGATGAAGATGGAGAGGAAAAAATCAGGAAATAAAGACATGGGAAACAGTGGGAAAACATATTATGATCAGATTGAAAGACATCATGTTTGGCCTAATTTATACCGAGGCAAGGCCTAGCACAGTATTTAGAGCAACTTGAGAAATATGTGAAGTTTAATTTGAACTCCATTCTGGTCACCCTGGTTAGCAACCATTCATAGATTTTTTAAGTTTCACACAAGCCATAATCCCCCTAATTCTGAAGTTATTTATGGAAGTTCTCAAAGAGCACACAGAATAGATAATGGCTTTCAGTAAAAAAATTACCTCTGAAGTGCAGAGAACTGGCATTGCTTGATGAAATGAATGTCCCTTGCAGGGTAAGTGTCAATAGGGGTTAGAGCTAGACTAAAGAATTGAAGAATGATTCTTCAAACTCTGTCTCAATAGAGATTTTTATATTTCTTCTATTTACTTTCATTAAAAAAAATAAACACCTATCATATGTATGTACCTCAATCTTCATGCTGGTGCTTTCTTGATTTAGGTGCTCCCACAGAATGCCATTTTACATGCTGTATGGCATCTGAGACATCTGCACAGATCTGGCAGATAGAATATGACTTTGGGAAGTTAAGTCAGTATCCAGTAGCTTCTCAAAAGCATGAGATGTTCAAACTAAGTCCTATATTTAGAAATTTTAATCTATGTTTCTAAAATATGAATATGAATCCTCCACGTCAAGACAGATCACAGAATCACAGATTCACAGAATGGGTGAGGTTGCAAGAGACATCTGGAGGTGACCTGGTCCAATCCCCTTTCTCAAGAAGGACTGCTTACAGACAGTTGCCCAGAACCATGAACATCTCTAAGGACGGAGATCACAAATTCACTGGGCAGCTCATGATAGGGCTTGGTTATCATCACAATAAAAATGTGTTTCCTGATGTTCAGATGGAACCTCCTGTGTTTCAGTTTGTGCTGATTGCCTCTGGTCCTCTCACTGGGCACTGCTGAAAAGAGTCTGGTCCCATCCTCATTGCACCATCTCTTTGGGTATTTATATATAGTGATGAGAACCTCCCCTATGCTTCACAGTCCCAGGTCTCTCAGCCTTTCCGTATATGAGAGCTGCTCCAGTCCCTCCATCATCCTCATGGCCTTTCTGTGGACTTTCTCCAGTATGTCCTTGTCTCCCTTGTGTTGAGACCAGAACTGGAAACAGTATTACAGGTGTGACATCACCAGTGTCTGATCTGCTGTGACAGACTGAACTGCAGAGTAAATTCAATCCTATTTCAGAGTGGAAAATTGTCGACCACTCAGCTCCCTCTTTGCAGGTTAGTTTATTTTTTTATATATTAAAGAAAACAGAGTTATGATTTAGAATTACAGTATTCAGACAATTATATAGTCCTCTAAAGAATGATAGGTGAGACTAGATCTAGTTGCTGATTGAGTGGCACAAATCTGAAATATCTAGTTTAAATTTGTAGAGAAAATAATCCTAAAATTGGAGACTAAAGTTAAAAATTTGCTAAGAATGTAAAATCTTTAAGAGTACGACATATTTTTTGCCACATTTTTATTTACCTTCCTGGAATTACCTTTAGAGATTACTGCTCTAATTATTGTTTGTCAACCACAGAAGTTCAGAAGTGTCTGGGACAGCGGATTTCCAAGATAGAGTGCCTACACATAAGCAGGAAGAATTTTAAACACATCATTTGTTTACTTACTTATTTTTATTCTAATCTTTGTCTTTTTTTTCCCCCTCTAGTATAAGTGCTATCACTCCTTGAGGACATTTGCTATTTTCTTAACAAAGGGTATGTGCATTCTACCAGAAAACCTGAATCCTATGAAAAAGAGGGCACTGTTTAAGTCCACTAAAGTTTTAT